AACTTCACGACGTATACTCCCATGTTTCTTTTGTGTTGCCATAAGTTATTCTTTCTGCGTTTGTGCGCTGGGCTAATGCTAATGCTAATAATGCTAAAGCGAGGATAATAAAATGGCGGCTGTCACTACCCGATCCGTACCCCTGCCCGATCTGTACTGTGCATGTGCGAGATGGTCCGCCATATTGGAGAACTCCGGACGGCAACCCAAGAAGGACACTTGACACAGTGGCTTTTGGCAAGGTTGAAAAATAAAACTCAAGAGAGATGAGTTATTGTTATTACAACGTGACTTCACTATTATTTAACAACTCTTTTTATTGGGTTATTTTATTTGGGGTTAAGTACATTGTCAGAATAAGTGAGAAATGAATTTAACTTCTGTTGGACAGCCATATGCCATACATTTTTGCATACATTCACAGTAAATATTTATTCAGTATGATAGCACAAAACTTTTTGGGAGTTTTACGGGGCGTGGTTTGCATTCCACCCAGCCAATCAGACATAGGAACCTTTTTCTCCCACGAAAGTCCCTGCTCTCTAGCAGGGACGGAAAAGGGGGTAAAAAGGTTCTCATGAACCAATTTTAGTTCCAGATGTTTTTGGTGTGAACACAACATTTCGGAACTATATCGGAACTAAAGTGGGAAAAGTACTGCGGTGTGAACGTGCCTATAGCAGCATTCATTCAAAATAAAGGAAAGATCTGAAAATCACAATGATTGAATCCCATTTACCTTTTTTACATCCTATTTTCATTGTTTGGCCTTAGAGGCTGACGTTGCATGTACGTTTGCAGTAGGGATCGACCGATATGGCTTTTTCAAGGCCTATACCGATACCGATTATTAGTAATCAAGGAGACCGATAACCGATATTTGGAACCGATATACATTTGCAGTAAAATCTGAAAATCTTGGTGTCAAAATGTAACTTCTTTTGAAATGCATTTAAGCATATATTATGTTTAATGAACTTTTAAACATCTTACAACTGGTTTACTCTCAGTGCCCTTTTCTTTAGTGCAGCCATCTGCAATGAGTTAGAGAGAGACAGAGAGTTAAAAGTGGGGCTGCAGGCTGACATGCTTAACTNAACACTGATTGTTGATTGACACTTCAGTAATAGCCTATCAGATAGTGCTGTGGGCGGGACATTGCTCGTCTACACAGAGTGGTGACTGCAGCCAGAGAATTTCTCTGGCTGCAGTCACCACTCTGTGTAGACGAGCAATGTCCCGCCCACAGCACTATCTGATAGGCTATTACTGAAGTGTCAATCAACAATCAGTGTTTTGTAGCAGCTTATTGGGATTTTATGCTAGATAGACAGGCATTATTTTGATATAATAAATTAAGCATTATTGTTAGTTAAGCATGTCAGCCTGCAGCCCCACTTTTAACTCTCTGTCTCTCTCTAACTCATTGCAGATGGCTGCACTAAAAAAACGGGCACAGAGTAAACCAGTTGTAAGATGTTTAAAAGTTCATTAAACATAATATATGCTTAAATGCATTTCAAAGAAGTTGTGTTGGAGTTTATGTTATTCTACATTTTGACACCAAGATTTTCTGATTTTACTGCAAATGTATATCGGTTCCAAATATCGGGTATCGGTATCGGCCTTGAAAAAGCCATATCGGTCGATCCCTAATTGACACTCTTACAGTTGTATTCAGAAAGATAATTTTCTTTAAATAAAGTAAACATTTTGTAACTGGTAATTTTATTAATGGATCAAGCAAAACTTTCCGAAACGATCACACACTACCACAAACAAATACAACAGAAGCATGAGCAGAGCTCGGAAAAAGGCATTAGCTGTCAAAAAGGTGTTGTTTTATTAGAGTAGGAAAAAAAATGAGAAAAAGTTGTAATGGTTTTTCTTTAAAGTCATCAAGCAGAAAAGCCAGCCAACCTGGACTGTGGGAAATTGTGAGAGCCTTTTTTCAGTATTTGTCATTGACTTAAAGGCGCCCTATTATGCTCATGTTCAGGTTCATATTTGTATTAGGAGAAAGTCCCTCTGCAGGGAACTTTGTGATTTTAGCCTTTGCAGACCATTTACATGCACATGTATTAGGTTGCCACAAAAACCTACTGTATTTAACACACTACAGGAAAGGGAAAACCCCCCCAAAAAGCATAATAGGGCCTCTAATGATTCATAGAAAAGAATGCAACTCATTAAATGTATAATGAGTTGAATCCCTAGTTCACCCTTTATGTCCCAATGAAATCATATCAATCAAGCTCATGCTGGGCTGTTACTACACCTTAGAGACAAAGTACCCGATAGCATCAAAATCTCAAACATAAGAAAGGGATTTGACATACTTGGGGTCTTTTACGAGGAGCCTTGTGATGAAGTCTTTGGCCAGGATGCTGGTGCTGCTGAAGAACTCCTCGTCGAACGTGTAGTCCACCGCCGACACGTTGGCCAGAGTCTCCTGCTTGTTGTCCCCCAGGAACGGAGACGCACCGCTCAGACTGCAGGGACAGGACAGAGGGTGACAGCAAGGTGAGAGGTGTGTTGTTGAGCAGGGAGAGACGATTAGGGTTGATATGTTTATTATACACTTATTGTGCTAATAATCCAGGGACAGATAAAGATAAAAGGCACAATGAACACGTTTGAAGATGAAAGGTTTTATATGTATTATAATCATATAGTTATTGCGATTGTGTGACAGCCTTATCAATAAAACAGTCAAACAGAGGGAAAAATATAACTGAGACATTACAAAGAAAATCTGAAATTGGTGAATTTATTTTGTACTGCGTGTTTTAATCAACGCAACAACTTCAGATCCTTTAATTGTATTTACTCTAACAACACGCAGAGCGCTGTCGATTTGACTTCAAGAATAAACTCACATGCCTGTGATCAGCTTCGGCTCTCAAAACTGAAACCGTGAACCTACTACTCTTTGAGGTTGGGAATGTGATTACAGAGCTGTGCAGCAAATAACTCAACAGTCAAGCCTCAATATAAAATGTAAGTTTTTGGGGCGACTGTAGCTCAAGAGGCAGAGCTGTCCACCAATCAGAGGTCAGGGGTTTGAACTGCTCCCGATCGCATGAACAACAGAGTTTGGGTGATCTTTTTAAATGGGTGCTTTAAAAAGGCAATCTATTTATTTTTCTTACACAATCACAGTCACTGGAAAGCTAGCTTGGAAGGCTCTTGTATACATTGATAACACGAGGAGTATAGTGTAAGGATGTTTATGGGACAATGTTGCCCACTATGACGAGTCCAAAAAGTGTGTTTCTAATGTACAAACAGACAGTTTAAAACACACAGGGCTCCTGCATGTAGATGAGGTCCCTTGGGGCATTTAAAGCACATATTAGTATGTGACAAACACCGGCCTCAGAAAACCTCTCCAGCTGGTCAGCACCAGGCGCTGATAAACACGCCAGCTGGGACAGACATGTAGGTGGTGCGGGGGTCAAGCTCAAGTCGAGCGAAAATATATAAATGTAGGGCACAGCTGCTCACAACAAACAAGTAATTAAGGCTCTTAACTAAACAAGACAGCCAAAAAGGCAGTGAAACGTGAATACAGGATGCTGTGGCAACATAGCATAACTCTAGTATTTACAGTAGCTGACAGGGACAACTGCACTACAACGGCCAAAAACATTTCCATTAGGAAACACGTGCTGCAGTTTAAAAAACAACATGCAAATTAAAAGACGCTGCAGGAAGCTCAAAACACAATGGAACGGGGAAAACACAATGCACACAGCTGGGACCGGAGCACTTGTTGACGTTTGGGGATTATAAATTGGCCAAATATTACTGTCACTGGAAACTTAAAAAGTATGTTTTATTGGCTAATTTGAACAATGTGATCGCATGATTCATTCTGATATTATTGCAGATCTGCTGTAAGCTAGCGAGCTAACCTCATCATTTCAAAGAATCACTTGGAGTTATGAAACAGACCAACTGACAGAGTGACATTTGGAAAACTTTATAATCCTGGAACGCCAACAAGTGCTCCGGTCCCAGCTGTGTGCATCAGTTTTTAGTGACCTTGTTTCTGTTTTATTTTCAGTTCCCTGCAGCGTTTTGTGTTTTGCAGCGTTTGGTTTATTCAGCAATTTTAGCAAACCATGAACACGTTTGTCAAGTTGTTGAATGTGTTCTAAATACTGCGTATGTGTTGTCTAGTTGGGGAAGATGATTCTTCATAGTTTTATATTTGGACCGTTTATGAAAATGCATTGCATTTCTCCTAATGGAAGTGTTTTGGGACGTAATTGGTATTATTAGTCTTTAGTTTAGTACGATATGTTTTTGTTTTTTGAACTGCCAAAAACACTGTTTTAATAATTATATATAATAAAACAGTAACAATTACAAATATATATGCATTATGCACAATTTTACTTATCAAGCTGATTCACAGCAGACTGAGACTGATCCACTACCTTCATTCAAAAGGTTTCAGGCTACATTATCTCAAAAGAAGTCTCTTTATAATCTTTAAAAAACGGAAACCATAACATATTTGGTGATTACTTTAGAGGTCCCTGATGGAGCTTTTGTGTGCAGCTCTGATTACAGCGCGGCAATTGGGTCATCACTCATGCAGACAAGGCCCATTAAGAGGTTGGAGGTGCTCATGAAAATCACTGTAAATAGTTTATTGAATTATCCCAGGCCATTTTTTTCTGTTCCTTTTTTATTCTTTACAAAAGGAGAGGAGCAGTAAGTGCAGCTCAGTGTTGCTCGGCTGTGATAATAGGCAGGGAGCGATGTTTTTTCTACCTCTCCAGTCTGTGACAGCTGTGTGGGTGGACAGCGTGAACAAAGATTGTGTGTGTATATGCATTTGCTCATGTACTGTAGAGGCAAAATGATGCATGACTTTAACAGCAACTCCTATTCCTTTTTTGAAATGAAGTGTGTAATGTTTGCAGCTACTCATTATGTAACAATGAGATAACACCTATACTTTCAGCCTCCCTATCTTTACCTCACTGTATTTTGGTGAGGGCTCTCCACATGTTCGTGTGGGCACATTTTGTGTTGGTGCTTCGCGTAGGTGTCTCTCTGATGGATAGAAGGCGTGTGGGAAGCTTAGAAAAACCTTGTAACCGGGTGAATAAAAAGGACAGCATGGTCGAGAGCCAACAGCAGTTGATCTGTCGGCCGCCAAGGGGCGTGAACTTTTCTCTCGCTCTTGAATTAAACTGTGCTGACATGTCTGCGAACGGCTGCATCACCAACAATCGCTAGTTCAATGAAAGGCCTTGGCTGAAGGAGATGAAGATGCTCTTTATGTGTTGGATGTTGTAAAGATCAATTGGTAGTACAAGCAAAGTAGCAATAAAGGAGAATCTGTTTAACAAATTATGACACGGCCGATATGTAACCAGTTCCTCTTCTCTGAGGTCACCAACAAGATCAACAAAAGAGTGACCAGACCTGTGGCATCAGTATTTATATATAAAAAAAGAGCCATTTGCAGATCAAATGCTTTATGATTCAACCACGTATGTTTTCAGGTGAGTGTGATGGACATTTACAATTCCCTATTTAAGTTTTCATTTTCAAATACAGGAAGCATTTTCGGATCATTTCATCATGTGCAGCAAGAAAAGTAACACATTTTAGATGCCTGTGTGTGCATAAAGTCCTTGTGAATTTTTTTAAAATGAGTTAAAAACGTTTTTTAATTAAGTATAAATACCTTGCTGTATAAATCTTTTATTCTGAGTATTTTTGAAAAGATATATGCTTGAACCCTTGGCAGCGGTGGACAAATATTTAAGCAGCACCACATTGAAGAAATATTTGATGTTCAAGTACTTCAAATTGTTCTTGCGCATACAATTCTGAAAACAGAAACCCAACTTCTCATTTCCCCATGAGGCAACAGTAGTGACCACAAATGCAGTTTTCACAGGTAGAAACCTTGAGGAGAACAAGGCTGACCAATCAAGGCACACATGAGACACAAATAATGTAAAGTAGCATAAAGGCATCTGAAAATAACACTTAAACTAGTTCAGTACACGATTAAATATGCTGTGGCACTGCCTGAGTGGAAAACAGCACCAGTGTTACATCACAGAGCATGTGGTAAATAATGACTCACTGTGTTATAAACCAGGGTCAACAAGAGGCAGCTTTTTGTTTGTCCTGAGATCTGCATGATGCTGTAGGCCTTTCCGCATGTTTGTTATTGTAATGAGAATTAAAAAAAATGTTGATTGTTCAAATATTTTGTTATCTTACCCCTGGTGTCACTTTACATTTTGAATACTTAGAAGCAGTTCAGTAAAAGTTCAGTAAAAGTGAGAAGTCCTTTTTGTTTATTGAAAACCGTTTTTTTACTCTTGTTTTGCAGCGTAGAAGATCAGGTTTGAGACTTGTGTTTTATTAGACTTTTGTTTTTTGATTAGGGAAGTTTAAGTTTTTAATCAAACACGTCCAAAAAAGACGCTGACTTTGACACACTTGAAATGGATGTGGTAAGATGATAACTCATTTAAGTATTTTAGGACTCATTCCTGCACCATTTAAAAGTAAATTCAGGAGGGCGCTAATATCAGTCCAATCAGCAAAATGATATCTCTATTGACAAAGCGGCTGAAACAATATCACGCTCGAGGGCACTGAAAATGTCGTTTGAACATGCTGCGGGCTGCTCCATTATTCACGAAAAACAGCGCACACTTCACAGCGACGGTGGCTGCTGAGCGGCCCGACGACTTCAACGACAGTGAGGTCAAAGGTCATGTTTACAGAGTGACTACGCCCTGGGGTTTGTATGAAAATATGAACACAAAAAGGTGGCGGGTGTAAAAACCCTGCTGTGTGACACGTGTTTACAATTGACATTTCACACACTTATCCATCATGGCTGGTAATATTTAAGATACTTACAGGATGTAGGTTATCACACCAACACTCCTGCAAGACAGAGAACAACGTTGTGTATTTAGACAGCCATGCATTGTGCAAAACATACATTTACTTAGCAGCAGATGTTCATCAGAAATAATGATGTTAAAAACAGCATATGTGCATTACGCTCATTGTAGAGCAGATTGACTTTTTGTTTACTCACCACATGTCAGCCTCCAGGCCCAGAGGTTCATAGTTGACTACCTCTGGAGCTGTGGGGAAAAAAGAAGATCATTAATATTCAGCCCAACACACACACACACACATTAACTTTATCTCTGATTTAATTTTCTACTTTCCCTTACTGATTCCTTTACTTGTTTTCTTCTAGCAATGCCTCCTTCGTGAGTACTACTTGAGCTCGTTAGCACATTTAGATTGTATTTGTTTCTTTAGGTGTGTGTGGTTTACCACCTACTAGTGCTGAGATTATTTATCCTCTTTTTTTCTCTTGTCACATGTCTTCAGATGTGTGAACACTGTAGTTAAAGTTGGATTATTGCATTTATTTCTAAAACAAAACAAGAATACTGGCAGAGAAAGAGGAGGACTCCAGACAACTGCCCCTCCCTTCAAGCATGTTATTCTGGCTTCAGAAGCGAGTAGAACACACTAGGAGAAGCACAATTGGGTCCCTTTAAGAGTTGAAACTGCAGTTCCCTTGATTCAGGGGAAGTAAACAGGAAGTATAAGGTTGCCATGGAGACGTTTAGCTGTGGGCTGAAACTTGAGCCACATTTATTTAGCGTTGAAATGTTTATATTTCCTGTTCATGTTTATAATGGAACGAATGGATTCAAACACTATGACTATTATTAAACTACTTTGACTATGGAAAAGATGATGAAGATGATACCTAGGCAGGGGCCGGAGTTATAAGGAGTATCTTTTTATTTATTTAAACCACCTTAAAAACACAACATTCAGGTCTTTTCATCATCCGACACGGCGTCATTTGAGACATGGCATGTTAATTACTTTTACAACATTTACATTTTTGTAAAGAGAACTCTCTTCTCTTTTATCACAGCAAAACGAAAGACTATGAGCTATAAAAACATGGCAAGTTAAACGATCTATGTTTATTTATGTTATTTTTAGACACCTTCTGGGGCTTTATGTTTTTCCTCCCCAAAGTGTACAAAGGTTCAGGGTTTTCAAGGAAGGTATTTGTTTGTGGATTTATGGATAAGGTGTTCAAACCCTAAAGAAATGTACCAAACATTTTTAAGTATCTTAACAAGCTGTCAAATGGCTTTCAGAGAGGTTAGGTAGCTTAATAATTCAAGCTTTCTGACACTTGATCTTTATTTATAGCATTTGACCGCTGCCATCCTGCTGGACAGGCTCTGGTCTTGGCCTGGATGCTGGTAGTTGGCAGCAGCGCTGAGGAGGAGGAGACTGGGAGTATTGGCAACTGCCCCGAGGCAAAAAGGGGTAGGTGATGGGAGATGGGACGGAGCCACTGATGTGTCCATTAGTGTGTGTGTTCGTGTTGGCAAGAAGGATGAGTTCTGATAATCTCCAGTCTATTATCAGCTCTCTTTCACTTAGTCCCTATGGCACATTTGGCACATTCTCTCACAATACGCAACCCCTGGTATAAAGCCAAGAACACAGGGTGGTGCAGGGTGTGTGAGGTAGAGAAAGGATGGAGATGCACAAACTCACTGGAGCAGAAGCTTTTTAAACAAAATACGGAGCAATAAAATAAGAAAGGACCATGATATATATGATATACAAACAAAGTGATACTGACCTACAAATTCTGGAGTCCCAAAGATGTTTTTAAAATCATTGCCAAAATCTATCTTGTGGGCCAGGCCGAAGTCGATGATCTTGATGCGCGGGTGAGGCACTGAGCGGTGCAGCAGCATGATGTTCTCCGGCTATAGAAGGTAGAGAAAGAGAGACAATGAATAAGGGGGGGACAGGGAGGACGGACAGCATTAAGGAGAGGTGTCATTTTGCCTATTTTTTAACTCACAGAGGATGAGTGTTGAAAACTGATCCGTTAACTTTTTCTTTACATTTTCTTTAGCTGACGGTTTTATCCAAAGAGCTTGACAAGTGCATTAAAACACGAAGATACAAATTCAGAACAGCAAAAAAACATGCAGGTGCATTAGCTTCAAATGAACTAAAACCCTTTGGTTAGTACAATAAACCCTCTGTCTGAAACCATAGCAAAGTCTGCTCTGATTGGTTAGCTGGCCGGCTTTATTGTGATCTGTCAACCACTTATAGATGTCCCGCCCCTTAGCCTATCATGTACAATGTGTTGGAGTGCATGCCAATAGAAGAGCAAGTGTTACATAGTGATGTCACCATGTTATGAGTCCAATGGAGGCGTTACAGGAAGGGGGGAGTGTGTGGGACAGAAACTTCCTCTGGCGAGAACTGTAGGAGTTGAACCTTTGCAGACCCTTTTCATCTACACAAACCTATATAACAGACTACAGGAAAGAGAAGCCCCCAGTAAGCATTTTTAACAATGTCCTGGATGAAGGAAGAGCCAGATCCCTGCACAGCCAATAGGCCATTACCAGTGTCCCCTAACTTTTCAGTGTAGGACACACACTAAGTGTAAGCAAGGGTGTGAGCAACAGAGTCAGACACAAAACCAGGAACTGGCTGGCAGGAAAGAGGCACCAGCCATGGAAATAAAATGCAAAACACGAGTAGAATCCTCTCGAGGAAGTGGGAGAAAGGAAAGAACGGCGAAGATCTGCTTTGAGCAAAGACACACAACAGAAGGAAGACATTCCTAAGGATAATGCCCCTTTCAAGACGAATCCATTTTCATTCCAATGCTCATCCTTTCAGCTGCACTATTAGCCAAACTTGAGGAGGACAAGAGGAGGCGCTTAGGATATACAATCAGACTCCAGAGCAGCTCGTTGGTTTTATTCTCTAAAAAATGTTATATAATAATGTTTTTGCTGAATATACAATTGTTTTAGTTTGCTGTTTACATCATTTGAACACCTCGCTTGATGTTCAAATTGTAGGTACTTTCTTTTGACTTTATACTTCTACTATTCAACATCCCTGGGGAAAATATTGTACTTTTTACTTTACATACAACATGTGAAGAGTTTATAAATCATGACTTTTTTTTAATAATTCAAACTATTAAAAAACAGTTTGTACAAATGCAACTGAAACAATTAAGCGATTATCAAAACAGTTGCCAATTGTTTCTTTCAAATGTGATCAATCGCCTATGTCAATTTTAATGTAAAAACATGTTATGTTTCCATGCTTTTACTTTAAACCCTTAAACCAATTTACTTTGTGCTCTGGGTGATTGGCATGGTACAACATTTTGCAAACTAATACAACAACCTATTAATGAAAAAAAGAACAGATTCATCCATAATGAAAATAATTAATTCAAATCAATTTAAATTAATTCCACCTCAACTAACTTCAACAATTAAATTAAATTATTTATTTCTCTGCATAAAATATTTATTTCCAACACTTTAAGTGTATCAACCTGATTATATTTGCATACTTTAGCTAACAGAGTTTATCCTTCACTGCGGTGTTATCCCTTTTGTTTATGTGCTTTCTCCTCCATCATGAGAAAGTAGACATTTCAGTGGAGTAGTATGGTAACTTTCCTGTCAAGATTAGTAACCAAAAACACGTTTCCAAAATCACAAATACTACAGGATTAATTGTAAATATTATATAGTAAATAGGGATAAAGTAAATCGGTAAAAGGTTTTTGTGCATGTAAATCGTCTGTGAAGGCTGAACTCCGTATTCCTGGAGTTTCTCTCCCGTAAACTCCCAACCTGTCTGAAACGCCTTCATCGGACTACTTTGCTTACTTCCGCAACATAGTGACATCACTACATAACACTCGTGCTTCTATTGGCTAGTGCTCCAACAAATTGTACGTGATTTGCTAAGAGGCGGGACATCTCTAAGTGGTTGACCAATCACAACAGAGCTCATCAATCAGAGCAGACTGGGCTCTGGTTTCAGACAGAGGGTGAAAAGAGGTGCTGCAGCAGAGGCAGTATGAGAGAAATGTAGAGCTTTTTGAACATTAAAGCATGGAAACGTGTCACAGTAGAGGCACAAAATACACAATTTGAAAATAAGCAGAATATATCCTTTTTTAAAGACATTTTTACAAACTGTTTTCGAATCATTGTAGTCCATCAGTTCAGAGAAGATGACTCAGACATCCTCATTCTGCCCTGCCCAACACATTAAGCTCTTGAGCATAATACATTGATTGGCAGTATCACTGTCTCTTAAAAATGGTTTGACGTTCCCTTTTTAACTGTCTAATGGCAGTTTGAAAGTGGTCGAATAGAAGATTTGTGATTTGTGGTGCTTTCTGACAATGACTACAGCTGTCATGGTATGGTAATGGCTGCAAAACAGCCACATAAACCCACATTCAGAGAACTAAAATTGACAAAATGGTTTTACATACAAGTCAAAATGTCCGAAAATGGCTGAACACTGCAAATCAAGCCAGTTGGAAATTGCGTTACTGCCGAAAGTTATTCAACTAATCAAATGAAGTCCTAAAATGAGCCGCTGCTTTACAGAGAAGAACAGTGGCTGATCTGAGAAGCTGAGGCTGCTGTGGTTTTCAAAAGCTCTAGCATTGATCATAAGTAGATGGCAGGGTACAGAGGTCATTATATTCTGCAAACCTGGAGGCCAAATGTCCTGAACTCTGATGGATGATTTGTGAAGGTTGTTCTGTAAGTGGAGGTCTGGAAAGTTTATTCTGAAGACGCCATGTCCAGCCGAAAGTGGACAACGGATCAATGGTATTGAGCGAGATTTAAGTAAAGTACTACCACAACAGTACACCAAACATCTGAGGGAAAAACCTCAGCTACAATATGATGTCTCTGTACACTATGACCTATTCTCTTCTTCCTTCAGGAGTTCCAGAATACACAGACTCCATATCCAAATAAAAAAGCATAGAATTAACGAAAACTGATGTGATGGTCACCGTACAGTAATTAGCGTCAGATGCTTGCAGGCTCAACAAAACAAAACAAAAACGATACAAAGAGAAAATAAAATAAAAAGGCGAGTTCCAAAAGAGGCTAGCTGATCTAACTAAAAATACATAAATAACACACTGAGATGATGCTGCAGTTCAGTAATCTAGTGAGCTGGCATTTTGGAAAAATAGCTGTGTATTACTCCAGGGGCCCAGGACCACATATGTTTGTTTTTCTTGTTCAAAGGAAATATCCAACTGTGTTGTCTAGATGCAACATTACCTTGAACAAGGAAGTGTCAAATGTATCAAAAATATGTGCGATTTCATTTGAAATTGACTAAGTAATTTCTCAACTCTTCATTTCAGATTTTGTCATTTGTTTTGATTTAGTTTAATACCAATTTTCCAAATACATCAAAACCTGATTAGCTTTAGTTGGTGGTGTAGAAAGGAGTGTTGCGTGAATGAGTTAGCATTTTACCACTTCCAGTTCCATCTTACAGTAAACTGTCTTTTGAGCATTTCTTTGGTTGGATGCCTGAGATAAGGTCTTAATTCATTAATACAAGCTGAAGACATTTTCACATGTTGTTCTACGACATAAAAAGCATCAGTAAACCCATTTAAGAAGCTTCTACAGTATGTGTCTTAAAAACAGCGGTTGCTAACAAGTGACTTAATTTGACATCTAAGTGTCATCACGGCAACACAACTTTTCCTTTAGTTTTGCGGTGCTGATGGGCAACCTGCTAATTGACTTATAGCGTTAGCTTTTTACTTCTGTCGATTGCATTCACGCTTTAAAAATCATATAGCTTAGCGGTAGTTGTTTAAAGCCAAGCAAACACCATTTTTTTGTTTCTATTTGTCCGGATATTTTCTACAATACTTTGAAATCCGATAGAAAATGTGCTTTTTATTGAGGTAGCCCTCAACTGCTCCACTCTATTGGGACACGTTTTAAGGATGGAGGATGGTGTCTGTCTTTAGTGACTGCAGTACCTTAAGGTCAAAGTGAGCGATCTGTTTGGCGTGCAGGTAGAAGACTCCATCCAGGATCTGCTTGAGGAACTGAGTGGCTTCCTCCTCGCTCAGCGACTCCTTCTCTGCCAGGAAGTCGAAGAGCTCACCGCCGGCCACGCTGAATGAGGAAGGAGAGAAAGAAGGAGGGAGAGAATTAAAACGAGGATCTCTCAGATCAGAGCCAGCTACAAATCCCTGCTTATCAGAGCTGAGCTGATGTAATCTCATCATCCTGCTGCTTTAGAGCCTGACCAATTCACACATCCCAAGCACATTTTAACCAGCGTTGTCCTCATCAAACTTCTGTTATGAAAACCCTGCATTGTTTACAGAAAAGGGGAGTATGTGGGGAAAGGAACATGCCCCAGTGTTTAAGCAAATGCTGTTTTATTGGACTTTTTAAAAGAAAAAGACCTTGCAAGAATGATAAGGGTAGAATATAGCATTAACAACAGGAAAAGTAGAAGTAACTGCAATTCCTGAAGAAATTGCTAGTGGGAATGCTTTATGCTGAAAAGCTGACGCTAAACTGCTATGCTGAAATGTAATGTGTAAGAAGAAAGTGAAGAATTTAGATTGAAATGATACATGAACACTGGGGGCTTGAATGTGTGATGAGAGAAGAAAAGAAAGTAAAAAGGCTTGGAAAAGCAGCAGAATATTTGAACTGCAAACTTCTGAACTAATTTGATGGCGAATGATCTTTTGCTATGGCAACGGCATTTGACGACACCCCATAATACGCTTAGATGCGTTGACGACTGCATAGTTACCAAACCTGTGAAGTTTTGGGCTGTTTGGAGTATTTTCACTGAAGTTTTTGAAAATCGTGTTTCAAGGCGAGCATTGTGTTGCCATGGCAACGGCATTTGAAGAAATCTCAAAACTGTCCTGTAGATGTCTTCACGGCTGGACTGTTAGTACACATGTGAAGTTTGAGCACTTTTTGAACATTTTCATAGGAGTTATAGTGACATCATATTTTATGGCGAGGGAAAAATGGAAACGGCTTATGGTGAGATCTCAGAATTGGCGTAGAGCTGTTGAGGCATGGACCGGTGATATACAAGTGAAGATTGGGGGACGATTGGACCGTGTCGATTGGACTTACAGCGACATCGTGTTTCATGGCGAGTTGTCTGTCGCCATGGCAACGGCATTTGATGACACCCCATAATACGCTTAGATGCGTTGATGGCTGCATCGTTACCAAACCTGTGAAGTTTTGGGCTGTTTGGAGTATTTTCACTGAAGTTATGAGAAAACCGTGTTTTATTACATTACTCTCTCTCTTCTCTTGATCGCCCTCTCTCTCTTCTCTCCCTCTTCGGCATATGATGATGACACCCCATAATTGACGTAGAGCTGTTGAGGGCAGGACCATTAACCTTTATCTGAAGTCTGCTGCTCTGAGCATGTCAGTTGGAGTGATGACATCATCGTGTTCCATGACACAGGTGTTTATATTTGAGCTAACGAGGCATCCAGAGATCAAAGGTTTCCATTGTTCTGAATGAGAGATAAACCTCTTACATGTGAACGTTTTGTGGAAGAACCGTAACAGATATCTGTGAAATTTCAAAACGTGAAGCATGTCAAGGAAGTTGAGTATCTGAAGTGTAATCTTTGTGTACTTTCGGGTTAATAATGTGGCCTTTTTGGCAGTTTAACTAAAGGTGTGCGGCTGCTGCTGTGAGGAAATATCAGCCTGAAATTACAATGGGTTTTAATGGAGGAATGTTGAACGTTTTTGTCACTTCATGCCCTCAAAAAGCATTTTGTTTAATTATTTGTCGTTTTTCAAGCTACGAGATGTTTTCCTACGTTTGTCATGATAAATTATGTTTCAGGAATGTAGGGTTTGGGAATTATGGCAGTTTTAAAAAAATATATGAAGGCAAATTTCAAGAAGTTCTACCCTCTAGCTGTGACATCACGCACTAATGTTAAAATGTGAAGAAAACCTCTTTACCAAGGTCTGAACAATGTTTAATATCTCTAAAAGTAAGAATCAGATTTAAAAGTTGTTTTAAACGAATAATGTCAGAAAGATGTGTAACATTTTAAAGTTGGAATGAGGTTTCTGATTGAAAGTATGAAGGAGCAGTTAGCAGTTGATGAATGAACAGTTAGCAGTTGAAGTCGCATGAAGATTTGTTGAAGTCTGAAGATTTCCTCCATTGACTTCAATGTTAAAAATGGGATGTATTATGGGATGTATGTCTGGAATTATGAAAGTTATGAATGAGAAAAGTAATAGCCATCGATTCTCGACCGAGCTGAACGTTTTGATGTTTAAACGGAGTTTCTGCGATGTTCAATGCAGGGAGGAGAAGAGGGCCAAAATAACCCGTCGGAATAATAATAAACTTTTTGTCCGTAGAAGAACAGTTAGTTGGAATGCTGTTAACAGCATTGCTGTTAACAGCATTCCAACTAAAAGAAGGAGTTTAAATCTGATCATTCACAAATCATAATAAACATGCAGTCCTTTATCCAATGCAAATCAACACCATTTGCATTAATAACATAACTACAACAGGAACATTGGCATAAAATACCATTCAAATAGCTTTAAAAACTATACTTACCCAGATTTGACCCATTTTGGGCAAGAGATTCAACTTCATTATTAAGATTCAAGAATCTTAATCTTCAATTATTTTCCTTCTTACATCTTGTTTTACCCCTTTTAATATCTATATCACCACTTGCTAACCAATACCACATTGCACTACGTTTTATCTATCGCAACCGTGCCCTTTTAATGAAATCGTAGCGTGCTTCAGCACTTAACACTTAAAGGTTGAAAAGAAAAGTAGAGACAGGGGAATGGAGTGAGCGGAGGATTTATCACGGTCACAGCGTGAGAGGAAGCCTGCAGCGAGAAAAGATAACTGTAATTACTGCCATGCTTATGCAGTTGTTTACTTTCACTCAACATATACAAACATATGTTTTTTTCCTACGATATATGTGAGGAATGTAAGTCACAGTTAAATGGAAAATTACTTTTGTTGCCAATTTTCATGTCAGGATTTACATTTTAATAACCAAAACAATCATGCAAGTGCCTGGAATCATATGAAATGTAACTTTATGTGATAAGAAAACTGATTACCACACACTTCACCCTCCAGGGAGGAAACAGCAGCTGGACCTCCACCCTCTCCTCCCACTCTATTTCTTCCATGTTTCTTTCATCATCTATTAGTGGTCACCAGGGTGTTCATAAACAGTCAAAGACAGGAAAGAAGGTTCCTGCTTGAACACGTTTTTCATACTGGTCTATTAATGTTTAACGTCAAAGCACAGTTGCTGTCATGGTTGTATTTACCCAGGGTACAGCAGGAGGAGGAGAGGGTGTGGAGGACAAAGGGAAACCACATCTTTTTTAAATCCCATGTCATTTGTTTTGTTACCTGCCCTGAGCTGGAAAAACTAACACCATGTCACCCTATTAGCTTTGTGCTAATATATGTAGCACCAGGCAACACAAACAGTGTATTATTGTTAAATTAACGAGTTATATGACCCTTAGTAACTTGTAGTTTTAGACCCTGTCACAACTCTCAGGCATGTTCAGTGCAAGATTGTCTCTTGAAACTAAGTGGATAAGTGTCTCAACACTGTCTGCTTTAGTGTGAACTGTCAGCAGCCATAGAGTATTAATGGCACAGACTTAGCATTAAGATTGAGTTATTGGCTGTCTGTTGATTTAACTGAATAGGGTTTTTTAAGTGTATATGTCTTTGTGCCTTTTTTATTCAACTAATTCAATATTAATATATACAGGACTGTCTCAGAAAATTAGAATATTGTGATAAAGTAAGGTACGATAAAACAGAATCAGCAGAAAGCATAGCTTGAGACCTCCCGTGACATATCTTGTTACAGGGTTTTTAGTCAAAGACCTCAATCTTATGGCCACATAACTACAAACAATATGATACATTAGTTTTAAAATGTATTAAAAAACATATTTCAACTCTCAAGGTAAACATTTAAGGAAGTCATGTACAGGGGCTGATAAAATACAAAACCAGAAACTAAGAAGGAGAAAGTAATAGACCAAAAATCCCTACATACTTTTTTAAGAATAATAGTAAGTTTTCTATTCATATTATTAGTTAAGTGAAATCATCATCATCCTCTTTAAACTCTAATGTGATTAAAACAGCTTTTAAAATA